ATTGACGTTAGCACGTGAGGAGTTTTTTGTTTTCCTCACGAAATTTTTGAAAGGTTTTTTGGGCAAAGACTGAATTGAGATGTTCCAATGCCATTTTTGAACATTATAGCGCACTTATCATCTTTTTTTTGCTCAAATTTTCATGGTTTTTTCGTTTATTTTGCATATTCGGGTATTTTTTCGCGGTATAATTTCCAGACTTTTTTCGGAATTTCCTCAAAGTTTTTCGGGAACTTTTTTTGTAGATTTTTAAGTGGATGATATGCCGGAGAAGGTATTCTTCATTTGCAGATTTGTGGGGAATTATACGGCGTTTCTTGGACCAGGCGGATCAGTGGAGCGCTGTCTACCAAAAGAGTTGCCGTGCGATCCGACTACGCCGTACCGCAGCGCGTCCGGATGGTGCAATAACCTGAAGAATCCGGAATTCGGGAGCGCTTTCACGCCGCTTTTGAGACTTTTAAAACCGGCGTATGATGACGGTTAGTTTCTATCATTATTACTCAATATTATTATTGCTTACTACTGATATTATCAAAAATTGTTATTATTTATTTATTTATTTATTACTGTTATTGTTTGTGTTTGCTATTATTTATTGTTGGCTGTCATTTTTCGAGAATTTTTCTGGTAAATGTTTTCATCGGACTTCCTCTTGTGTGTTTTCATGAAAGATTACCGACTATACAGGATTCGATTCACCGCGCGTGCGATCAGCGAGTGGTCGCGAACTGCCGGCGGCCCGTGTCATCTCGAACAAGATTCACGCAGACAAACCATTTGAACACGATAGATTCTCGCACATGTTGATGCAATTCGGACAATTCGTTGACCACGAAATCACGCACACACCAACTGAACGAGGTGATAGTTTCAGCGAGTGAAAATCAGGCAGAAAACTGCAACGATTGCGCAACGATCAAACGGATTGATATGTGCGAAATGGTTGCAGGGCCGAATGATGAGATATTGAATTGCACGGAATGTGATTCACGTGAGACCGTCTCAGTGCACTGCATGCCTCAAGTAATCCCTCCAGGTGATCCGTATTTCCCGATAACACTCCCAGATGGACGACCGCGTTGCCTTCATTTCGCACGCTCGCTTCTCGGACAGTTGACTCTCGGCTATAGGAATCAGTTGAATCAGGTCAGATCATTTTCGGAGGAACTTTCCTTCTTGTTTATTCCCCTTCCCTCCCATGGAGCTCTTCCCTCTGTCCAGTTTTAGCTCCAGATACGCCCACTCCAAGTGCTTCCTCACCCTGCATTCTTTTCTGTTTATAATCTGAGAGCTGATT